AATAAAAGATAAAAAAACTGTAATTTTAATAGGTTTAGGAGTGTAAATAGAACTTTTTAGCTAGTTTGATTGACCTCATATTAATCCTTTTTATCCTTTTTTTTAGCAACAGGACTTACACTTACATCTTACATCTGATATGAAATAAAAAAAAAGAAATCTATTCTGGTTAACATAAGTCACAATATTAATTAATTTACAATTTACATATATATATATATATATTCATTATTCATCCAAAAAAAAAATATGTACATTGTTAAAAAATCATGGTTTGACATGAAAAATATTTTTTTTGATATGACACATCACACAATATTTTCGGTGAACATGTAGGAATAATTGAATAGTTGTACTACAGTATTAAAGCAATAGCATATATGTCAGAACTGATAGTGAAAATATCTAAAAATACTTAATAAGCAAAACTTATTATTCTAAACACTTGCATTTCTTTCAATTTGCCAAATTTCGACCTTTAGAAAATATATGCAAAAACGTAACAAGAATGTATCAAGAACGTAACAAGAAAGTAACAAGAACATAACAAAAACGTAACAAGCACGTAACAAGAACGTAACAAGAACGTAACAAGAACGTAACAAGAACGTAACAAGAACGTAACAAGAACCTAACAAAAACCAAACAAAAACGTAACAAGAACATAACAAGAACGTAGAAAGAACATAACAAGAACGAACCAAAAACGACCAAAACGAACGCGATAAAACCTACAATTTTTTTAGCTCTCCATTCTTTTAGGATAAAAATATGGTAAAATTTGATAAAAGCAAACTTTGACAAATGCAGTTTTGAAGCCAATATTTTTAAGTTTTAGTTTCATAAAGGTAAAAACTAGGCTTTGTGCGTTTACGCAATAGAAAATATTTAACAAAGAAACAAAATATTTAATCTAGAATTTTCTAATTATCACTTTTCAAAAAGCAATTTTAATAACTTTCTATAAAAAAGTCTTTTTTAAACCAACAAAAAAATATTTTCTTTTTCACGCTATTTTTATTCTTGCTGGAAAAATATTTGTTAAGTGATCACAAGAAAAACAATTTGAAAATAACAACACATCAAAGATGTTAAAATAATCTATGGATTCAAAATGTTATAAAAAGATGTAAAATACAAGTAAAATTATACCCTTTAAGCTTGGAACTGTTGTGATTGATATTCATTATCCCGATTGCTTGATTTCGATATTCACAAGGGCACTTTTGAATTTTGCCGAGAATCTACTTGATCTCTTGATTTTGGATTTCCCTACATTTACTGCTCTCTTATTGGTTAAAAACAAAGTTTCTTTGCTTCTGATTGGCTGGTCATTTTCCACATTTCAAGAGATTTCAAATATCAAGATCAAGCAATGATCTTGATATCCAAAATACAAGAACTTCCATCTCTGGTTTGATACAACAGTTAAAGAAGAAAAAAATGAAAGAAATTAAGATGTTGGATTAATGAATAAAAATTCTCTTTAGTTTGAAGTCTAAAAATTTAAATATGAAAGAGAACATGCCTTGGGGGGTTGGGTAATTTAATTTTTAAAATGTACCATTACCTTTTCATGTTTCAACTCTTAACCCTAAATAGGGTGTTAGGTCTAAACCTATGCATAGACTGAAGGGGGGGGGGTGTTTTGTGCCTGTTCAATTTTTTAAGGCCCCCTAATTTCGAGAATTATCAGCTTATGTAAAAAGGATTGTAAAAAAGGCTTCAGTATCACTGTGACCTATAGACATTAAATAAATAAAACAAAAATAAAACATAAACATTGTCCCCCCCCCTTACGATCCTTTTTTCTTCTTTTCCTCTCTATTTTTCAAAACCTTTCCTCTATTTACTACTTTTTCTTTTCCTCCTTTTACTTTGGTTCTAAATTTTTTGTTTTATTAAAATTTGACATGTATGTATCGCTGCAGAAGGGCCTCTCATTCAAAACAACCAACAATGGTAATGATGCCCTGGCTAAATTAAAATGTAAAAATTGTGCAATTGTAATTTTCTATTTATCTACAAGTACAGCCTTGCGAACTCGTAGTTCCTCTAGTTTTCATTTAACGCATAAGGATGAGAAAACCTAATCTATCTAATATGCCATATTTGAAATTAAAATTTTTTTATTCTTTCCATAAGGTCTTCAATAAGAGGTGCTATACGTGCAATCTATACTGTAGTTTGACGTGGGACGCTTTTTATAGCATTCACAAAACTAAACGTAATTAATTCCTGCTTATAGTTCGATAGACAACGGGTCCCTTAACAGGTTTCTTGTAAATTAAGTATAAAAGATATTCATGTTTTTGTTTTTGAACAAAGATTATTTTCATCAGTGGTTTCTTTACAAAGGTGACTTGTGCATTTCTTGCTTCAGAGACACTAAAGATAATAAAAAATTAAGCACATCTTAAACTAATTTAAACGTTTCAAAATTTAATTTTGAATCTCTTGAATCTTCCTAATCTTAATCCAAGAATAGGAAATGTTTAAAAATTCTGAAATAATTTTTTTTCTTTTTCCTTAAACCCTATCCCGGCTGGGCTATTTTTGTCTAATAAACCGCTGGAGGGGGGGTTTAATTTTTTCCTTAGAGTTGAGATAGGAGTGTGATACATGTCCTTTTTGTTGAAAAAGTGAAGAATTTTCTGTTCAAATATAAGCAGTTTTTATGTTATTTAGAAAAAAGACAGGGGGGGGGGATATACCCACCCCCAGCGGTGATAGGGTTAGGAAATAAAAAAAATGCAATTTGTGATTTGAAAAAGAGATAGATCTTTTTGAAACTTTAGCTTTAGAATTTACATTTTTCAGATTTAAATATTTCTATTTCTTTTAAAACAGTTTTAAAAACAATGTTTTTAAATTGTTTTTTGCATAATATTATCGATGCATATCTTTTAATTAACACTTTACATGTACAATTATATAAAAAAAATAGTTTTAGACTATTTTTTTTGTTCCATGTACTACTATTAATATAATTTTGTCAATTGAATTCTTCTGCAAATAAGTGAGTAATGGAACACTAATAGAGAGATTGAAAATCAATAGAACGATGGAACACTAATAGAAAGATGGAACGTTACTAGAAAGACGGAATACAGATAGAAAGATGGAACACTAATAGAAATATGGAACACTAATAGAAAGAAGGAACGTTTAAGAAAGATGGAAAAATAATATAAAAATGGATCACTAATAGAAAGTTAAATATGAAACAATAATAGAAAGATGGAACATTAATAGAGAGATGGAACTTAACACTAATAGAAAGATGGAACACTACACAAGAGATTACACATCAATAGGAAGATGGCACGTTCAAAACGAGATGGAACACTGATAGAAAGATGGTAATAGAAAGATTACACTTTAGTAGGAAGATTGCACGTTTAAAGAGAGATGGAACACTAATAGAAATATGGTAATAGAAAGATTAAACATTAGTGGGAAATTTGCACGCTTAAAGAGAGATGGAACACTGATAGAAAGATGGTAATAGAAAGATTAAACATTAGTAGGAAGATGGCACGGTTAAAGAGAGATGGAACACTGATAGAAAGGTGGTAATAGAAACGTAGAAAGTTAAGAGACCATTTATACTTCTGTTGTTGACTACATATTTTCCGAAGCAACGGAATTCATTCTTTGCCACAAACTCTAATTTTCAAATCCCTTTATCTTTTCAACCCGATGGTTAGAACCTTTGCTATTCATATATATATATAGGGATTAAAAAATCAGAGTTTGAGACAGAGACTCAACTTCTTTGCAATTTGATTTGTCTAACTCCAACCAAAAAGCATACCTATTTCAGGGCGCCATAACAAACTCCGGACACCTATTTTAGGGCGCCATCACAAACTCCGGACACCTATTTCAGGGCGCCATAACAAACTCCAGACACCTATTACAGGGCGCCATAACAAACTCCGGACACCTATTTCAGGGCGCCATAGCAAACTCAAGACACCTATTTCAGGGCGCCATTACAAACTCCAGATACCTATTTCAGGGCGCCATAACAAACTCCGGACATCTATTTCAGGGCGCCATAACAAACTCCAGACATTTATTTCAGGGTGCCATAACAAACTCTGGACATCTTTTTCAGGGCGCTATAACAAACTCCGGACACCTATTTCAGGGCGCTATAACAAACTCCAGACACCTATTTCAGGGCGCTATAACAAACTCCAGACACCTATTTCAGGGCGCCATAATAAACTTCAGATACCTATTTCAGGGCGCCATAACAAACTCCAGATACCTATTTCAGGGCGCCATAACAAACTCCGCACATAAAAATTGCGGAAATATAAACTCTGGAAATGCAAAATGCTGAAATACAATCTATGGAAATAACAAGTTCCTGACGAGACTGACTCCAAAAAGTACAACCCTATTCCAGCCGTGGTGCTCTGCCCCCTTACCAATCTTTTAATAAGAATGATTGAACAAATGTGAACAATTTCCCCCAAAAGTTTGTGTTGTTAGGGAATTGTCTTTTCCGGAGATTGTCTTTTACTGAGTTTTATACTTCCAGGGTTTTGTATTTCCGAAGTTGTCTTTTCTGGATTTTATATTTCAAGAGTTCATCATTTGTTTTTTGTTTGTGATTTCCGGAGTTCGTAATTTCTGAAGTTTTGTCATTTCCTCAGTTTACACTTCTAGAGTTTTGTATTTCCGCAGTTGTCTTTTCCGGAGTTTCCATCTCTAGAGTTTTTTCTTCAGGATTTTGTATTCCCAAAGATTGTTATTTTTTTTTATGGAGTTTATGCTTCTAGAGTTTTGTATTTCCACAGTTGTCTTATCAGGAGTTTGCATCTCTAGAGTTTTTTTCTTCAGGATTTTGTATTTTCAAAGATTGTTATTTTTTATGGAGTTTAATTCAAAATATTTTCATTTCTTTAGAAATACGCTGATTGTAGTTGTTTATCTTCAATTGATTATTTTTTGTTTTGAATTTATTTACTTGATTTAACGAACATGTTTTGTTTGCAGAACAGAGTAATTGATTCATAATGTAGTAGTTTTTCAGTCAGTTTATAAGATGGCTGCCTTAAAAATTTCATTTTTAACATTATTCATCATATTGCAGGTTTAAACTAAATATCTACAAATAAGGTTAAAAAATTTGATTCCAAATCACATTCAAAACAAAAGTGTGTTGTTGATTTGAGAAAAAACTAACAGAGGGGTGTATATTTAGTGAAAATCAATGAATTTTTGGGTAAAAGGATCAAAAATAATTAAAAAAGTTGCCTTTTGATATCTTACTTTTCATCACCCCCTCCCCCCCCCAATCAACAAAAATTATCCCACCACCCTGGGGGGATATTTCTGAAAAATATACAACCATTTTAAACTTTGAACCCCAACAGAATCTACATTGAATTTTTTCAGGTGTGCAAAAGTGAGCCTGCTCCTAAACCTCTTGATGAAATCAATGTTCATTTTCATCTTGATTATGAGAGTTCAGAGTCTGCTGAAGGAATAGGTAAGTTTTTTAAAGAGAGAGCAGACAAACATTTATAAATTTATAAAATATAAATTTACTTATGCTAAAATATTATGCAAAAGCTTTAAATTACGAAAAACTTTACACAGATTTTGAAATTGTTTTGAATATTTAGAATATTTAGAAAGTTTTCTTTAAATAAATGTCATTGTCATTGTTTGTCCCCAAAACATTTAATACTTTTCAAATATTTTTTTAAAGAAGCTCTTTTCTTAGAGATGTAAGTTTTGTAATCAGGATTACCAGTAACAGAAAAAATGCAATTCTAAGTTAAATTATGTGGAATATTTTTGAATTGATATTTCAATAGTTCCATGAAAATGTGCCCAAAACCAATACTTTTAAATTTTTATTTTTAAAGAAGCTTTTTTCTTGGAGATGCAAGTTTTGTACCCAGAATCACTTTTAAAAGAAAAAAAATGCAATATTAGACAATTTTTCAAGTTCATCAATGCTTATTTGGTGTTTCATAAGTTTTGGTCAACCTATGGTGGAGGGTGGGGGTGTTTTAAATAATAGAAACAGACATATTTGAATTAAAAGGACAGACCTATACTCTTTTTTTTCAGAGAAAGCCAAAGCAGGCAAAGGGGCAAATAGAGGTTAGTATCAGATCTAACTGAAATTAAAACAATTTAGTTTAATTTACAAATAATTAACAAATTTTAAATATGAATTTTTAAGTATTTTAACATTTTTTTTCAGCTGAATAGTTTCTGATTAACATCTACAGTGAAACCCTTAATAACAAATACATCGAAAGAATTCATCAAATGTCGTGTTCTCCACTTTCTGATAATGGAATGTTGCAGATATTTAGTTTTTTAATTAAATGATTATATTGAACTCTTTAAAACTGTTCCTGCATATTCATGGCTATTTATTTATTTTCGCAAATACTGAAATTTACGTAATGTAGTATAAAACTCATTGAAAAATTGTCAAGACAACATTTGATAAATTCTTCCGATGTATTCATTATTTAGGGTTTCACTGTAGTATAGCATGAAAACATTTGGAAAATTACATTTTTAAAAATAATTTTATCATAATTACTGAATTCAGGAGATTATGACATGACCCCTGAAATGATGAAAGAAATATGGGATAAAGAAGGTATTTTAGATTATGTGGAATATTTTTGAATTGATATTTCAATACTTTTAATTTTTTTTTAAGAAGCTTTTTCTCTTAGAGATGCAAGTTTTGTAATCAGGATTACCATGCAGTAAAAGAAAAAATGCAATTCTAAATAAAATTATTTGGAATATTTTTGAATTGATATTTCAATACTTTCATGAAAATGTGCCCAAAACCAATACTTTTAAATTTTTATTTTTAAAGAAGCTTTTTTCTTAGAGATGCAAGTTTTGTAATTTAGGAGTAAAAGAAAAAAATGCAATTCTAGACAATTTTTCAAGGTCTTCAATGTTTATTTCGTGTTTCATAAGTTTTGGTCAACCTATGGTGGAGGGGGGGGGTCTTAAATAATAGAAACAGACATATTTGAATAAACAGGACTGACCTATTCTATTTTTTTCAGAGAAAGCCAAAGCAGGCAAAGGTGCAAATAGAGGTTAGTATGAGATCAAACTTAATTTAAAACAATTTAATTTAATTTACAAATTTTAAATATGAATTTTTAAGTATTTTTGACATTTTTTTCAGCTCAATAGTTTCTAATTAACAATTAGCATAGATCAAAAAATATTTTGAAAATTACATTTTTAAAATAATTTTATCATAATTACTGAATTCAGGAGATTATGACATCACCCACGATGAAATGATGAAAGAAATCTGGGATAAAGAAAGTAAGCTATATGGAATATTTTTGAAATGATATTTCAGTATTTTCATGAAAATGTGCCCAAACAGGGCTGTACGTGGGCATTTGTTTTGGAGGGGGAGGGGGGCACAATTTGCGTGCTTGAGCGCGCAAAACAAAAATTTGGGTCCACCCTTTAAAGAAAGTAGGTTAAATTATATGGAATATTTTTAATTAAATATTTCAATATTTTCATGAAAATGTGCCCACAACCTTTAATACTTTTCAAATTTATTTAAAGAGGCTTTTTTTTAGAGATACAAGTTTTATAATCAGGATCACAAGTTAAAGAAAAAAAAGTTATTCTAGACAATTTTCAAGTTCTTCAATGTTTATTGTGTGTTTCATAAGTTTTGGTCAACCTATGGTGGGGGGGGGGTGTCTTGAATAATAGAAAAAGACATATTTGAATAAACAGGACTGACCTATACTATTTTTTTTCAGAGAAAGCCAAAGCAGGGAAAGGTACAAATAGAGGTTAGTATCAGATCTAACTTAATTTAAAACAATTTAATTTAATTAACAAATATTAAATATGAATTTTTAAGTGTTTTTGACATTTTTTCAGCTCAATAGTTTCTGATTAACATCTAGTATAGCATGAAATATTTGGAAAATTACAGTTTTAAAAAAAAATATCATTATTTTTAAATTTAGGAGATTATCCTCTTTTTGAAGAAGACTAAACTTGGTCGCAATAAAACAGTATTTTCTATCAGTTTTGTAAGTTTGTTATTAATTAATAAAAAATAACATAAGAAAGAAAAAATGTTTATTTCAATCAAGAACCCATAGATATGAGAGTACACAGATCTTTTAAATGCTGGAATCTGCGGTTTCATTGTGCCCAACTGGATTACACGACCAATTATAAAAATCTATTTTCAGGGATATATAAGGATCCTTTGGATACCAAATACAAAACCTTCAAAAATAGACTAAATTCATAATTTTTATGTTTAATCTTGAAAGTTGGAGTATTTTTTCAAAAAATTGTAAACTTAACCCTGAATAGTTATTACATGCAACAAGAGGTCGTTAGATGGCAGTCAAAACCTGTTGTGGGAATGTAGCATGTCGTGTCAGTATGACTTTAGGCCTAGTTAGTCCATCCCATAAAAGCTGATTAGCAGTCGGTATAATATCTAGCGTGTGAAACAACAAGTGTAACAACAGGAGGAGATTAAGAATGAAAAAAGGATTCTCGGGGAGCCGTAGTACATTTGAATTTCCAAGCCAGGTCAACATTCCAATCCCAGTTTGTACTGTACCTAGCACTATGAACAGGACTAGCCGGTGCAACAAGGTTGACGCGGTCAGACTTTATGCTTCATACAGGTTGAATTTACTTTTACTAAAAGGGCAGAGATGCGTGGATTAAGAATATATCAGAAATTCTTCATCCTCTGAGTTGAACACTTTTCAAGCTTGAAAATCTATGATATCTTCCACATTGTTGATCAGAAGGAAACGTTTTTATGAAGCAATCCCTTTTCAAGTTTAGGTTTCTAGAAATTAAAACTAGATTAATTTTTAAAGGCTAAAAAGTATGAAAGAAATATAAAGAAAAAACATTTTAAATTTCAGCTTTCAAGATTTAGAGTTCTAAGAAAAAGAATTTAATTATGTTTTGACAGGTTTCTATAAAACTGTAAAACCAGTTCTGAAAAACCTAAACTGTCGACGGTGCAGAAAAAGTAGGGGTGTTCAAAAGTAAAGGATGCTTGGCAGCTTTTTAATATAGTAGGGGTGTTCAAAAGTTTTTAATATTACAATTTACAAGTTTGGCATAAAATCCCAACTTTGTTAGAATTGACTGGTTTATTACATGATTCTGCAGTTACATAGTTGAATGATTCAATATTTTTAAAAGTTTTTTGCTTCAAAACTTATTTTATTGGCCTATTTTTTTGGTAACTCAATTCCTCATAAAATACTATTATTCCTCTTATTAACCCTCTTTTATCCCCTTGTAAACACTTCTTTATCCTCCTTTTTACTCTTATATATCCTCTTATTACACTTTAATTCACTTTCTTATTTTATCTCTTTTTTATCTTCTTATTTACCCTCTTATTTACCCTCTTATTTACCCTCTTATTTACCCTCTTATTTACCCTCTTATTTACCACTTTAATTCACTTTCTTATTTTATCTCTTATTTACCCTCTTATTTACCCTCTTATTTACCCTCTTATTTACCCTCTTATTTACCCTCTTATTTACCCTCTTATTTACCCTCTTATTTACCTTCTTATTTACCCTCATTTCTACTTTATCTATCTAAAGAAAGTTTTAAATACAATTCATCAAAATATCTGATTGCAAAGTTTACGTAAGCAGCGTCCAAACTTCAGACAACACATGTTTTAAGTTATAGCTCAAAGGGAGTGACCGGCAAAGTATGTTAGTTAAATTGAGAAACAAAAACTCTACAGTAAACTATGAACATCAGGTTGAGAAAATAAAAATTAACTCTAATCATCGAAAATAAGTAAGCTGATTTAGTTATTAATTTCTGCAATCTCTCATTGTTCACATATATTTTCTGTAGATTTTCTGGAATTTTTAGTGAAAAGTCGACATTTGAAGAATTTTATGAAATTTGCTGACTGATTCTAACATTAATTTATTGACGAATGTCTATTGAGAAATTTGTTCATTAACATCTAATTAGTTTACTACAGAATTTTGTATACATTTTTCGTCGCCATTATTTAGTAATTTAGAAAATAAGAATTATCAGAACGTCGACTTTGCGCTTAAACTCAGTAATTATATATCATTAAAACGTTTTCTGTGTCTTTAATGAATCCTAAAAAATTTTCGACAATACTACATTCTCAGTTCAACTACCATACATTGCCGGTCCCTCCCTTTAAAAGTTCTGCAAATAATGAGTTTTAGAGGGTCAAATTAAATTTTATTCTCGGACTTATGATTAATTAATAAAGATGGTGAGAATACAGAGATTTTATGGGTTTAGATATCTTAGTCGTCCATTCTGTGCAATAAATATTTAAGCTAGGGTTTAAGTCACGAGTGGCAATCCGTATCAACCTCAACCTATACCCCCTTTCATTTTTCACGAACACTCCCTTTAACATTTAAGCTGCAACTTTTCATTCATTAGTTTTGACTTCAGGATTTCAAATTGATAAAAGTTAAATTCGTTCAGTTTTGAAGCAAAAATAAAAATAAAAGAAAATTGATTTAATTTTTTTTAGTTTGAATTATAATATGAGCGGGTATATGCCTTTGAGTTTAAATAAAATTTAAATTGTAAATTGTACTACAGGGTGTCCCACAGGCCACGAAATATGACAGTTGGTGAAAAGTTTAAAATGTCTTTTTCTTCCATAGTTTGAACCCCAAAAGAATAATATAGAAATTTTCATGCCATATAAAATATATTTCAGTAAAAGATTTTATTACCTAAAAAGTCTATATCGAATACAGTATATGGAAGAAGACATTCGAAACTATTCACAAACTGTCATGTTTCATGGGACTGTATATCTCCAGATAAAATATTTATGTAGATTCACAACACCCAGGGAATTCTGTTCTTTACTATTACTGTCAGCCAGGGCTGGGCAAAGTTCCATTAACGAAACGGAGGTTTTCGAAAATTAACGGAAGAGTCCATTAATGAACAGCAAAACCGTTAATTTTAAATCGTTATTTAACTAAAAAGTTAAAAACAGTAAATTTCGTTATTTTCTTTTTCAAATTGCATGAAATCTTTTTAAAAAAATTTGTGCGTAAAAATCTTTTACGCAATTATTTCTATTAAAAATGCAAAATGAAAATAAAAAAAAATATAATAGGAGCAAACCTGAGATTCTCAGGCTCCTGTGGGATAAAATCGTTTTTAGATTGGTTGAGTATTTGCTGAATATGATCTGTTTAAACTTACTACTTTTATTACAAAATTGTATTTTCACGAATTTCCGTATAATTTGACACAGCTTTATATCAATTTCTCGAGACAGGAACATCAGATAGATGTCTAATATGTTTCGTTCAACTCCTGAGATTCTCAGGTTTCATTCTATACCCCCTTTCATTTTTCCTTTACAGTCCCTTTAAGTAGAATTGTAGCTCGTGTCTCCCTTTAATTCCGTTTTAATGCAATATATACAGCTTTTCCACCATTATTTGGGGTAGAGATTAAACACACTGATTCTTTTTCTTATACCATTATCATTCATTTTGCGAAATTGTTATCTGCAAAATCTAACATCTTTTGCGCATTTGTTCAAATGAGATATTTCGCAAAAAAAAGTTTAAGAAATACGAACGAAAATTTTCGCAAAAGTTTTGGTTTGCTGAAAACCCTATTTCAAAGTGCTTTTTCAATTTCTGTTTTAATTTTTCATGCAAGAAAAACGCACTAAAAAATAAGAAATGAGTTTTAGTCACAAACTAAAATTTTCTAACCCCTATATCTCTGCAACCTGATGGTGTAAACCTTTGATATTTCAAACTTAGGCTATTTGGTCTTTCAGAATTCACTGTTTCAAATATTAAAGACCAACGACATTGGGTTGCCAAGATAAAGGGGTTAGAAAACCAGAGTTTGTGTCAAAAACTACTGTTCATTTTAAATATTGATGTAATTGCAGAAAACATGAAATATTTTTGATAAAAAGAAAGAAATTTAATTTAAAAAAAGAAATTGATTAAAAAATGAAGTTGACAGTCTGATTGAAGAAGTAGTAAATAAATATCAAATTACGTCTGGGGTGCAGTAAAATTTATTGCAAAATTCACTATTTTCTTTTACACTTTCTTTCCAGCTTTATTTGTAAATATCTTGCAATTTCTCTTTCATACCTTTGCTAAAAATTATTTGCAAATTTTTGTTTTCTTTTTTTTGCATTTTAATTGGAAATACAAGAAATGTTTAAAAACATCATTCTAATTAAAATTTTACAATACAACTGCGCTGAGTTGGAGGCTAGAGATGAAAAGTATAACAGTTTACAGTGTTTTATTCATCTTATTCCAGGTAACCGTATCATTATATTTTTACAAACTATTGTGTACTTTATCATTCATACTCACTTCATGGTAAATTTTTCTAAGGACATGCTATATGGTAATTATTGTGCTAAAAAGTTAAATTAACTGTATATTACAGCACCGTGCTATAATGTTATCATCGTGCTATAATGTAAAATTATCTGTATCTGATAGCACCATGCTATAAAGTAATCGATTGGTTCCCGGATTTTCTCCCAATATTTTAGGATATTTATAGAATATTTTTCAATTTAAATGAGAAAATAAATGAAATTAACTTTAAATTATTACTTCAGAGCTGAAAACTTTAGAATGGATAAACTTTAATCCTGACTTCTTGATCCGAATATCCACTGTGGAAACTTTATATTTTAGTCCTTAATTCACTCTTTTCTCTCTCCTTGGATATCCGTTAATTGTTTTCTCCAATGAGAATATTTCTGTTCTCTCATTGGTTGCCCGCTTTTCTCTGATTGGCTGCTACAGTTTCTCAGATGATTAAATATTAATTTGAATCGTTTTTCATACACTTTTAAGATAATCTTGCAAGATTATGTTAATCTGGAGATTAAGAAAAAGAGTGGATTAAGCCTTAATCCCGATATCCACCATTCAAAAGTTCCCAGCTCTGATTTGGTAAAAACGTTATATTTATATTTAGAAATAACCATTGCATCGAGATAAGTACAATTGTTTCATAAAATTACATATAAATCACAATTATTTTGGCACAATATGCTATCAAGTTTTTCTTGAAGGTTCTCACCTTTTAGATTATAAAATGCCTCTCAATTGGGACAAAATATAATCTAAAAACCTTCTTGATAAAGAGAAAATGTCTGTCCAAACATTTTATAGCTGCGAACCAAACTAATAGTCTTATGAATAGTTAACAGTTAAGAAAAATAACATCCATGCTCAGTGAACCAAACTAATAGTCTTATGAATAGTTAACAGTTAAGAAAAATAACATCCATGCTCAGTGAACCAAACTAATAGTCTTATAAATAGTTATCACTACCTTACACATCCCCTCCACAAAGGAACGTTAAGGCAAAAGCATCCATAGTCGGCGAATTTATTTAAAAATCAAAAAATAGGTTCTCTCAACCAAAGCATTCAAAACATCTAGAGGAATTGGGAATCCTTCGTAAAGTTATTTTAACTTTCCTGTCAAGTAATTGTAAATAATTACAATTGGACAATCTAATTCTCAATGATAAAATATGGTGGTGTAAAACAAGTTTTGCAGGCCATTTCATGTAAAAGGTAAAGAACTCTTGCAATGCTTGTAAAAATAGAATTAGCAATAGGGAAGTAAGATTCTGTGTTATGTAATGTAACTTCTGTAAATTTATTTTTTATTTAATATTGATTTTAATTTTAACACTGAGAAATGAAATAAATACCTTTCCCACTTATGAAAATGGTAAAAATGTTATTCTAAGATCCAATAATCAGTATTATACATTAATTTGTAAATCACAACATTTTTAGAAAGTCGGTTCCATTAAAAATGCACCAACAGTGCAACCCCTTACTACTTTACCTCTAATTGTTATAAATAGATCTGCAGTGGAGATCCTCTTCCTAAACCACTTGACACTATAAATGTCCATTTTCATCTGGATGAATCAAGTTCAGAGGAAAAAGGTAAACATTGGATTAAGTAAAATTTATTACATATATTGTTTCAATTTTTTCCATATCAATTCGGGTCCATAATGCCCTTAATAAACCTTTTCTGAAGCTGTTAAAGGGATTGTAAAGGAAAAGTGAAAGGGGGTATAGGATGAAACCTAAGAATCTCGGGCGTTGAATTTATCTGATGTTCCTGTCTTGAGAAATTGATATAAAACTGTGTCAAAGGAATTGAGTCTTTGCCACAAACTCTGATTTTCTAATCACTATATCTTTGGAACCAAATGTTATAGACCTTAGATATTTCAAACTATGAATTCTGTTAAATCAAATAATCAGAGTTTGAAATATCAGAGGTTCACAACATCCTGTTCTAAAAATATTGTGGTTTAAATATTTGATTTTGTTACAAAGATTCAATTCCTTTATACGAAAATTCATATATATGCAATTTTGTATTAAAGTTGTAGGTTTCAACAGATCATATTCAGCAAATACGAAACCAATCTAAAAAAGACTTTATCCTACAGAAACCTGAGGTTTGCTCCTGTTTTAATTGTTTAATTTTTATTTTGCATTTTTAATAGATACAATTTATAATATTATTACATTTAATCCATATAGCCTGTATTACATCACCAAAACTTCAGCCAATGGCAGTGCAGTATACTGGTCACATGATTTCCGTCTGTATCACATGACAACGATACTGCACTGCCATTGGGTGAAGTTCTGGTGACACTAATACGGATTTTACAGACTATTTGTAATAATATTGTTAACTATATCTATTAAAAATGCAAAATCAAATTTAAAAAATATAATCGTTTCAGATTGCTTTCATATTTGTTAAATATGATCTGTTTAATACTACAACTTTTATACAAAATTGCATATATATATATGAATTTTCGTATAAATTTGACACAGATTTATATCAATTTTTTGAGACAGGAACATCAGATAGAAGTCTTAAATGTATCATTGAATGCCTGAGATTCTCATGTTCATTCCTATACCCCCTTTCATTTTCCGTTTACAGTCCCTTTAACAACTTTTAGATTAGTGATAATAAAACTACCTTTGATGTCAATCATCTGACATGCCGGTAAAGTTTCCAAACAGAATAGTTGTCCTGTAAATTTTGTTTAGCAGGTCACATCTAGCTTTGTGTAAAAATGGACATGTTCATATTTTTTTCATTTCTTTGTTCATTGTACGTGTTTATTTTTTTAAAAATTTGTTAAAAAAATTATTCTGTTCATTCTCAAAAATTTTCGTTAGTTTTCTCACTGAACAATCCTTTAATAAAACCCTTCGCTCAGTAAAATTGTTTCTTCCATAAATTTGTTTGTTTAGTAAAAAAAACGTTTATTTAAAAATATTTGTTCCAAAAAATCATTCATTCAGTAAAAAACTATTGAATTGTTTATTTTTCAAAACTTTTGGAAAATTTTTTCGTTCATTCTAAGGATTTTAATCGTTATTTCTGTTTTTTCCTTCGTTTTAAAAAAAGATAATTTTTTCATTTCTCTGAACAATCATTTTGTTTGTCCATCATGAGTTATTTTTTTTGAGCGACACCCTTTTGTTTGTTCAAAAAACAATGCCCATCTCTATCTTTGTGTAGCATCTAGGGGTAGATTAATTATAAAATCAGTTTAGAAAAATTTTGCCCTTATTTTCAAAAGGGTTTAATGGTTTATAATTCTTGACAAATTGCAAGGAAAAACAATAAAAGTCCTAATCACATATGATTTTTAACCCTAAAAAGGTAGAGTTTCATTTATGAAACTATAACGTCAAAACTTCTGAATAAGAGATTCAGAAGAAATTTTTCCTTTAAATTTTATTTTTAGTTTTTGTCACAAACTATGATATTTTAAACACATTAACTCTGCAACCTGATGCAGTAGATCTTTACACTTTAAAACTATGAATTATGTTAGATCATTTTGTCTCAGGCAGACTGCCTAGATAACTGGATTTGAAAATAATTTTAAAGGGAGTGACCGGCAATGTATGGTTGAATTGAATATTTAGTATTGTGGACATATTTTTTAGGATTCATTTGAGACATATAAAACTATTCTTTGGCGTATATTTACCGAATTTGATTGCAAAGTCAACTTTCAATTTATCTGTTTGGTTGGATACGTTTTGAGAATTATTTTTCTTAATTTTTGAATAACGACGACAAAAGATGTAAAAAAAATTCTATTGCAATCAATCAAACTTGGTAAATATATTTTGTATTTTGCTTGGAATTTAAATGTATCATTAAAGTTGGCGTGAAAAAAAACAAAGATTAAAAAAAATCTATCCGTAACTTAAATGCTCTATTCTCAATCTCGTGTTTCAAAAATGAATTTACACGATATTGTTGTAAAATATTTTTATTTTTTGTTACATGTAAACAATTTTGTAAAATTAACATAATCTCAACACGGAGATAATAAATATTTAGATTTAAAAAATATATTTTGTAGAATAGTTTTATATGTCTCCAATGAATCCTAAAAAATTTATCCATCAATACTAAATATTCAGTTCAATCACAATACATTGCTGGTCACTCCCTTTAATGGCAAAAATTCCTTTCATTTAGATTCAAGACCTTCCCCAAAATTAGATGAACCTGCTCCTGAACCCAAGCTTGATGCACAACCTGAACCTGAACCTGAACCTGAACCTGAACCTGAAGTTAAATCAGGAAAGTAGAGTAATTAATCAACAATCCACATAATAATAAAACAGATCTGTACTTTTAGAGGTTTATTAATGACACTTTTTTATTTTAGAATATAGCGTAAATCAAAAATCTGTAAATCGAGGTAATTTTTTTAATCTTTAGATTTTCGTTTTCTCTTAAGCTGGTTAAGATTGGTTTGTTTTACCCCATTTTTAATAGAAAATTAAAAATATTATTAGAACAATGAATAGAAAATTCTTAGTGGACATTTGTGGAATTTTTCATATGTTTTTATCAATAAATCTTTTACTTATTAATTCATTAGTTTTAATAATGCTACTAATAATAAAAACTGCCACCTTGTATACTCGCAAAAATTCCTACAATCAGAGAAATAGATTTAACAATTGTGAAAAGTTTATCTCAAGAGTAAGCTATCATCGTGACAAATGTAAAGCTCAATCTTTGAAATATGTTTTGACTAATTCTTCTTAATATTGAATTAAATAGAAAAATGAGTAAACCAGTTTGACAAACAAGTGGGTCTAGCTTTGAACAGTAGTCTCTTGAATCTAAAATTTAAAATTTTAACATCTTGGCCTCTTAAAATCAAAATATATTTAAATTATAATCAGAGCATCCCATATCATATTGTTTTATCTCTAAGATTTAACGCTAAAATAGGAAAAAAATAGTCTTTTCTGCAAAAACATTTTTATACCAGGCTTATACAATTTTTTTAAATGATTCATTCTTTCTAAATTTTCATGGATATTCCAGAAAATCACATCTAAGAGCCATAAACTATTCAAAATGATGTGGGATATATTCCTATAGTTTTTAAAGTAAAAAATTTATAAAAAACAAAATTTTAGGAATAGAAGCGCAGAACATCTGCCAAGACATCAAATGTACTGGAAATAGAACCCAACTCAAGATTACTTGTTGCAGTTTTAAGTGAAAAAAATAATAACAGCTTTTTCATGTCCTTAATATGCTTTATTATGTTAAATTTCAGGCATTGAAAATTGATGATTAGTGTTATTAACTTGCATTGCGACTAAAAAAAAAGAAAATTTTAAGCTAAAATGTTTGCTTGATCCAAAATAAATTTTCATATTATGGAAAATCAGTATTAATCACCTTAAAACAATTTCTAAAAACATTTGAGCTATTTATTAAGAAACTTATGAAGGCTCTATTGATAGAGGTGAGAATAAAAAGTATTTTCTAAAATATATATTTACACAGAGAAATAAAAAAAGTAAACTGAAGGGAAATGTTTACCCATTATGACATTCAAAATAACTGTTTCTTACAAAGGTTCATATTCTGATGATACAAATATTATGGTCAGAATATTAGTATCAAACATATTGACAGTTCAGAGCAAGAGCAATTTGAGTTATTGTTTCCAAAGGTTAAAGATCATTGGTACAAAGAGGTTAATTTCTACCAAAGATCCTCGTCTAATTTTACACATAATTAATTGTAATGATGGTCAATACACACACAAAGTCTGGGCAGACAGCCATGTAAAATAGGATGCGGAACAGCATTTAATGATTTATGGGAATAATTATTAAAACTAATTAACCCTGGTCTGCAACTATTGTGTTACTGGAATTATGAAAAGCGGTTTTTAGTATGCAGAAGTAAAAACTTGCAGTGGTTGTCCAGATGGATCATCTTAAAGCAAAGGAATTTGAGCCTAAATATAAATAATATGACTTTTCCAACAAATTTAGAAAAATAATAAACTAATTGAATTTTTAATTATTTGCTTTTTATATCTTTGATCATTTTAACACCATAGTTTCAGTATTAGTAAATATTTCCATTTACTGATAGCGCCAATTGAAGGATTCATATCTCTTTAAATTGGATAATGAAATAGATAGAATAATAGATGTTACCTCCATACTATTTTTTATTGGTTCAGAGTAGACACCAAACACATGACTGAACCCTGATTAGATCAGCCGCTAATGGACTTGGCATACAGGAGTGTTAAAGTTATGTTTTTGTTGTTGATACAAATCCCTTTTGAAAGATGCAGACATATGCATCACAGTTGTAGTAACTGCCCAGCTAGCCTGAAAAATGTGTCGATTTTCCTTCCACCTGATCTCTCATACCCAAAACCAAAATTTTAAAATACTAATATCATGGCAAAATCATAGAGTATTTTGAAGATGCACCATGCAAATTAAAGACAACCAAAATGAAACTAAAACATTCAAAAATAGTGACAAATTTCAGAAAATGCCCATAAAAACTAAAATTAATTATATCCTAAATTATTGGTATTCAAAAATACCCTCTTTATAAACCACAGCTTTTCTTTTACAGAAAATGTAACTAAAAATGAGCAAAATATAGGCATTGCAAATATTCAGCTTTGTGTCATAAATTTTGGAACAATAGTGTTGGCTTTGTTGCCAAGTTATTCTCAAAATATTTTACAAGTTTTGTTCCAAATTCAAATCAATCAAACAGATTTCTAGTTTAATATTTAAATGTCCATGTTTATAATTAAACAAACAAGACGGATGCTTCGAAAATTCAAAAAATTCTAAAAAGCTATGTCAAATTTTGTTAAGTCCAAGCTAATTAACTTTCAAAATGGTATCATACTTTTAAATTCCTAAAAGTTATAACAATTTAGCCAAAACTGGTTAAAAAGACCAAATTTGGTGAAGTAAACATAAAAATGGCTGGGCCATTTAGGAAAATAATTCAAAAATGCAAAAATTTTGTATTTGAGCTAGTTTTAAAGGTTTCTTAAAAAATGTGTCACACATCTGGAATATTTTTCAGGGGACCCTACCCCCTCCTCTCTGCCTTTTTTCTTTATTATGCTTTTATTCAAAAAGATAATTACAAAATAGTAATTAAACCTCATGACAGTCAAAATCAAACAATAAAAATATTTTTTTCTTCTATTTTATCATAAGTAAACGAAAAAGTCATATAAATCTTTTTCTAGGCACAAAGTCCATTGCTGCATGATGTTCCATCTGGACATGCACTGCATGCTTTTCCTTCTGTATACAAAGAAGCCCCTGACGCTATATTACCAGCAACACGATAGTTGCAAACCATTGATATGTAGAATTGATCATCCTTGGGATAATATGCTGTTCCGCATCCTACTTCATGGCTATCAGCCCAAACTACTTGTGTGTAATGACCATCAACAGGATTATATGTAAATCTTGATGGGGATCTATGGAAGAATTCAACCTCACTATACCAAGAGTTTACTATCTTTGGAAATAATAATTCTGCTGTAGATTGATCTTGCTCTTCATAATTGGCATAGTCCATACCAATATTCTGACCATACATATCTGTATTATCATGATCAGGATAGCAGGTAGGGTCAGAGTTGATAGATATTTGTGCCAACTCAGCTAATTCTTCACTCCAGACCATCTCTCTCATATTAGCAGCAGGAGGCTGTCCCAATTCTTCCCCTTTTGCAACTTTCCTTCTTAGCTCATTGTGCTTAGAAACAATTGCATTTTTTCCCTTTTCTGACAGAATTGTAAAAATAGCATTACAACCTCCAAAGCCAAAGGCTGAAAATAATAAAAAGTTAAAACCTTGCAAATATCTATATATTTAAAACTACTTTATATCATTACCTCTATTAGATGAGCCTTCATGTAGTCTACCATTTGATTCTGCATAAATTGTTTAAATGTTTAAAAGTTTTTTCTTAATTTGAAAATAAGTAAGTAAATGTTTAAGCATATTTTCTGATCTAAACTGCTGTTTGAGTACTCTGCAAACATTGTTTTGGAATTCCTGATTTTGCGCAAAAGTTAGCAAACGCCCAAATCAGCTCAAAAAGAAATTGGTGAAAATACAATATCAGTGCAAAACTAGAATTGTAGGTGCAACTAAATGTTTCAAAAAACTTTTAACTACAAATTTTATAAAATTTGTTTGTCATTTGCACATTTTTTGCTCAAAACAGACTAACACAGAATTCTATGCAAATAGCGGAAATATGGATTTTTTTCTTTGTAAGGAATGTGAAAAAAAGAGGAATTTTGCGACTGAACTCAAAATACAGAATTTTACTGATTGATTGACTGCATTCCCCTGGTTTATGAAATTTTCTATAATAACTTTTCAGGATAAACATTTACCAATACAAAAGTAATAGGTCAACATAATTTTATAAAATTCCAGATGCAATATTTCCATTGTTGCAATATGTAATGATCACCTTTAATTGTATTCTCCTTCTTGTGGGAAATAAATAAGATCACCTTTAATTGTATTCTCCTTCTTGTGATCAAGTTTTCCTAAATGTGTAAGTTTTGTCACTTTGTAGAGTTTCTTTTTTGAATTTTTGTATTTAAATAAAAAAAAATTTTTTTTGTATTTTTGTTGCTGTTGACCTTTAGATATTTGTTTAACACTCTTACCCAAAAGTTTTACAAGATGCCACTTGGGTTTAGGTTCTCCATTACATATCTTTAAATATTTAAAAATTGTTGTTAAATTTTAATTTCAAGACTTAAATATATTTTTAACAATCATATTGTTTTGATCTTCTAAGGAAAAACATTTCTCAAGAGCTTTTATTAGATTTTAACCCTTGCATTATGGTTTACTGATTTGATTTGGAGAAATAAATCTTTCAGTTCAGATCTTGATACAAAATTATTAGAATTCTGCATGAGAATTTAAAACAGTTTGTAACTCGATTTATTCTTTCGGAGCTTATGATAAAGCTTTGAATCACTTTGTATTTTTTTTTCTGAAATCATACACTGTTTTCAAATGTAAAAAAAGATTTTAATACAATAAAGTAAACAGAAAAATTTGATTTAGAAATTTAGTTTTTAAATACTTGCAATAAATTTGTTAAGAAAGATATGTTTAGGGTTTCCACGAAATGGCTAAATCTTTTGCGCAAAATTTGCGCTATTTTCGCGCAAATTTTTTTTTTGCGAACTTTTGCGCTATTTTTGCGCATGAAACGCAATGAGTTTTGCGCGGTTTTGCGCTATTTTTTTTGCGCAATTTGCGCAAAACCGGAAATATTTTTTGCCAAAGTTGCGCATGAAACGAAATTTTAGTTTAGCGCAATTTTTTTTGCGCAATTTCCGCAATACCGCAAGTTTTACGCAAAATGTAACTTTTTAGGCAAATTGTCAAAAAATTGATATTCTAAGCTTAGAATTAAACAACTGAAGATTTATTAAGTATGATATAGACTATACTACACTCAATTGGTTACTTCCAGTTACAAAAAGTTTAAATTAAGGGACCAAAATTAATAAAATAGAAATTAGAGAGTGTGAAACAATTGGCAATATTTTAATCCTATTAAATAATTTCAAGTGACCCTTAAAAGCTTTGCCTAATCAAGTATGAATCATATTCTTAAATTTTTTTAATCATAATTCGGAAATCTTAATCTCATATAAATAATGCAAGAAAGTAACCAATGCCTGAAGAATTCACTTTTAGGAAATATGCATGTTTAAAACTAAAATTGTCGAGAAAATTGTGAGATTTGAACTCTTCTTAACTGTCATTGGTCAATTATGTAAACGTGACCAATAGGAAGATATTCCAAAACAAGATTTTTCCAGAATTGAATTCTAAGAAACACACACACCGTCATCAACCATTTGATTTTTACGAAATTGCGGAATTGCGCAAAACTTGAGTTTCGCAAAAGCGGAATAGGGCAATTTTGCGCGAAATGACTTTTGCGAATGATTGCGCAAATTGTTGTTTTTTCGCGCAAAACTGATGCGCAAAGAAAGAAAAATTTTGCGTTTCGTTCCGCTAAAATTGCGCAAAAGTTTTGCGAATGGAAACCCTAGATATGTTTGATAGTATAATTTAAATAATTACATAAATTGATTTTTAAATGTTTTTTAAAGATAAAAAAATCAACATCACTTTTAAAAAACTAGTTTGGTAGACCAGCCCTGCTTTAAAAGTAAGCTTCCCATGTATAATGGCAAACCTTTAAACTTACAAAATCAGACTTACAAATAGACAAACAGTAACAGTTTAAGTTTAATTAACCTGGTACAAAACCAATAGAATAATAAGCATGTAGGTGATCATCTTCAACCTTTAACCTGAAAACAACTAATACATTACTAAATTATACAATTTTAAATTGCTTTGCTAACTTTACAATCTTCAAAGGTTAATACCTAAACATGTTCAAATAATAAACAGTTTTAAATTTCATTAAGTTCTTTCAAAATTCATTTTTTTGTTAAAAATCAAATCAAATTCTATATTTCTGTAAATTAAATTTTAAAATTTTTAATAAATACATTTATTACAGCTCCAAATAAGACCATTTTGTATTTTTTTTATTGTTTTATTAACTCTGAACCGGAAGACAATATAACTGTGGTCAACAGTTTTCAGTTAACTGTTTGTTATTTGTTGAAGAATGAAATTTTTGTTTTGTAAAAAGTATTTTCGGTTATCTTCAAAAGTTGCCATTGGTTAACAACCTTAATATTATTAATGAGGTTAATGGAAGATATTTTAGAAATTCATATTGTTAATGGTGCCAGCTGTTAACAAGTCGTCAATTATTATCTATATAATAAAACAAGATATTCATATATATGTTCCCCATAGCTGGCCAAACGGCTAGACCGAATGGGCTGAATGTTTTTGTGATCACTCATGAGTAGCCTGAGGGTTACAAAGGCTAAAAAAATTCGAAATATTTTAATTTTTACTTTACTTGTTTTCAATGTTTTTTATTTTTCCCTACAGCTAATTTAATAAAAAATACCTGGAAAAAATTTGATATTAAAACATTTCAAATAAACATCAAAATCATATTAATTAACAAATAAGTGGGAAAAAACAGAAGAGAATTTTTAAAATATTAAAACGAATATACTATTTTTTTTATTTTCTTCAGGTTTCACGCAATTTTAAGCAAAAAAAGTATTAAAATTACTGTTATTTGTAATACATCCATTTCTTATTTTAATTGTTTTTTTTCTCAAGAAAGGCTAATTTTGTTTTTCCCAGCCCAGATGATAATTTCTGTAAATTATCTTAACATAATAAACACTAATTTGTTCCAGGAACCAAACATTACTCTTAACAATTACCCTAGAGTCAATGCCAGAGTGAACTGGAATACCAAAAAATAAAAAAATGTTTTATTTGGGAAGCCAACAAATAGAAACCCAGAACTCAACGGTAGAACTAAAGCTCTATTAGCTTGACCAGACATATAGCACATTGCACTAAAGAAAAATTTGTGGCGGTTATGAAAGTCATCCTTCTTGGAGAATTCTCCGCGGCAGCTGAGAAGCTAAGGAGAGTTTCCTGAGCCACGTATTTCACCAGACTTTTTAACCATGTAATTTAGATATAAATATATAGTTAGTTAAACTTGAACCTTTCGGAGTTTATTTAGCTGATTGCCAAATTGGTGACCCTGAACATTTTTGAATACGTTTTCTTAAGTCCTAAAAGTGAAACAACCCACCGAGTTGTGCAGATTTTCATAAACATAAAAACTCAGTGTTTTGAGTTAAATTTTTATTTCACTAGCTTTATTTTCGGATGAAAAGTAAGCCTGCCTCCCTGTTTTATTCACAGGCTCTTACAGTAAACAAAAAACTAGTTTGACAGTGTTATTTTTCAGCGTCGTGATGCCTGGAGATCCAGCTTTGTCCGTGGACGCTGAAAACCAGTCCAGCCATCTTTACGCTGTTGCTCTGAAGCTTCCTGTTTTCTGGCCTGACAGTTGCGAATCCTGGTTCATTAATGCAGAGTCGTAGTTCCATCTCAAGAACATCACCGCCAGCAGCACCAAGTTCCATCATGTTGTGGCGTCTTTACCCCAGAAGGAAATCAATAACGTCGTCGACATCATCAGGAACCCACCTGTAGCCGATCCTTACAGTGCTCTCTAGTCTCGTCTGTTACAGACACATTCTTTAACAGATTACGCTCGTTGTGAATCGATTATGTCTATTCCATTGTCTGGAGATATGTTGCCCTCAGCATTATTGTCCAGGATGCGGGCTCTTCTTCCTATAGAGCATCAAGAATGTTTGTTCCTTCGGTACGCTTTCCTCAGGCAACTTCCATCTGATGTAAGGTCACATTTAGTGCATGATAATACTGTGGACATCGCTGTTCTCTCACAACGTGCTGACAAGATCTACCGGAGCAGTCTGTCCCCCAGATCTTCGGTTAACGCTGTAGATTCAGTTCATGCTGTGAATGCACCTTCTTTACAACAGAACCGCCGACCTCAATGTTCACAACGACCTTCTAGCCCTGTTACCCGCTGTTCCCAGACTCCTGCAGCTCCTTCCCGCCGTTCAACTTCACCATCTTCTTGTTGGTACCACGCCAAGTTCGGTACAAAGGCCCTCAGCTGTCAAAGCCCCTGTTCTTGGTCGGGAAACTAGAACACCGGCAGGAGGATGCCCTCTCCCTGCCTGCCGGTTCAACAGGTTCTGCTCTCATTTACCTACATGATGTACTCTCTAATCGCCGGTTTCTAGTCGACACTGGTGCCTCAATATCAGTTTTTCCAGCCCCGGCCTCTTCCACATCCTCTGGTGTTCAGTTGCTCACTGCAAACGGTTCAACCTTAACCTGTTCAGGTTCCAGGATTATTCCTCTACGTTTTGGAACGTTCATGGACTTTTCAGTTGGCTCCAGTTTCTGTTCCTATCCTTGGAGCAGATTTTCTCCAGCATCATGACCTCAGTGTGAACGTGAGGAGCAAGAAAGTATTTTCAAACAGTGCATCTGGAAGTTTGTTTGTTGATTTGTCCTCTTCACCGCCGCCTTCTACATCATCTATGCAAGCAGCTTTTCTCTCCACTCCTCAGTGTGTGTCTGACCTTCTGCAGGAGTTTCCTGATGTCCTGCAGTCTGATGGTTTTACTGCTGCTCCTCCACGTCATCAAGTTCGTCATCATATCCTCACCAAGCCTGGACCACCAGTTTTTGCCAAAGCCCGCCATTTAGATCCTGCCAAACTCGCTGTAGCTAAAGCAGAATTTTCCGCCATGGAAAAAGCCGGTATTATCCGCCGTTCCACTTCTCCTTTGGCCTCTCCACTACATATGGTAAAGAAGAAGGATGGAGGATGGAGACCCTGCAGCAATTACCGCCGTCTTAACACCGCCACCGTTCCAGACCGTTATCCGCTCCCCAACATCGCCGATTTCACCTCACAAGTCAGTGGTTCATCTGTTTTTTCTAAACTGGATCTTCAGAAAGGATATTACCAGGTGCCAGTCGAGCCGGAGGACGTCCAGAAGACCGCCATCATCACCCCCTTCGGGATGTTCGAGTTCTTGGTAATGCCGTTCGGCCTACGGAACGCTGGGAACACATTTCAGCGTTTAATGGATCAGATCTTAGGAGAACTTCCTTACTGTTTTGTGTATGTTGATGATATCCTCGTTTTCAGTAAAGATCTGACCTCTCACGTCCAGCATCTCCGGGATGTGTTTCTCCTCTGTCCTGAATATGGTCTCACTATTGGCCTGCCTAAGTGCCAGTTTGCTGTGGAGGAGATTGAGTTCCTTGGTCATTGCCTCACCGCCTCTGGTTGTTCTCCCTTGGTGAAGCACTCCGCCGCTATCTCCGCCTTTCCACAGCCAACAGACAAACCCAGCCTCCAGAGGTTTCAGCGGGAATAGGGTTAAAGACCCAATTCTAATCTAAACTGAAGAAATATACCTTAGTTGCAATAGGAACTCCCTATTGCAACCAGCAAGATAGTAATGATTCCCTGTTTTGATAATAGATTGCATTGGTGTGGTTCGCTGTTTTAATAAACAGGTTGAGGATTGTCCCCGTTAGTTTGGGATTGATAGCTACAACCACTTTTATTTGGAATCGATAGTTACAAATTTCCAATTGATATTGATACCTAACAAGATCACGCCCAGTGGTAGTTGCATTGATAGATCATGAGATTGTATTTGCATGGTTCCCTGTTTTAATAAACAGGTTGAGGATCGTCCCCTTTAATTTGGGATCGATAGTTATGAGCTTCCGATAATTATCGATAGTTACAAATTTCTGATTGATATTGAAACCTAATAAGATCACGCCCAGTGGTTCCATGTTTTGATAAACAGGTTGAGGATTGTCCCCTTTACAGGATTGTATCTGGGTTTAAACAGTGATAGCTAAGTGAAACTGAACTGTACCTGGATAGAGACATGTTAGAGAAACTGTTCTGGAGTAGGTTATTTACTTCAATCCTGCATTTTCTCATGTTTTAAATCTCGAATGTTAATCTTCTAAGTGTATATACTATATGGTTTTTCATGTTGTTTTGTCTTGTCCAGCAATCTATTAAAAAGGTAAGGCACATTTCCTTTCACCTTGTTTGAAAAATTTCTTGTCATAGTATTATAAATATTTAAATAAATATATGCGTTAGTACTTTTTTAGATGGACTTGGATTGAAAAATATATTTTTACATTTATTGTTATTTATCATTTATTTTACAATTTTTAATTGTTAACATTTTCTTAACAATTTCAAGGACTAAGCACAAAGCCCATTACTGCATGAGCCTGAGCAAGCACTACATGCCTTACCAACCTTGTACATTGCGTCATCCCGCATGTTAGCAGGCTCTAGGTAATTGCATACAAGATATGCATTGTACTGTCCTTGTTTCTTATAGTAGGCAGCTCCACATCCAACTTTTGAGCTTTCAGCCCATACAACTTGGGTGTAGTGACCTGTATCGGGGTTATACACAAATGGGTAAATATTATTAGGATCAAAATTATTTCTAGTGACCTCATCATACCATCTTAGAACTCTAGCTTCCCAGACTGATGTTAGCTCTGACTTTTCTACTGATTGTGAGTTATATTGTATGGCAATATTTTGTCCAGCTTTTACTCCATTAATATAAACAGCTTTGTGACCATAATTACATGTGCTGGCAATCTTTTGTGCTTCTTTAGCTAATTCTTCATCCCAGACCATCTTTTTCATATTAGCGGCTGGGGGCTGTCCAGATTGTTTTCCATTAGCAACCTTGCTTCTCAATTCATTGTGTTTAGCTAGTACAGCATCCTTGTCAGACTGAGAGAGTCCATCATACATAGCACAACCTTGATTCATCCGGTTATGAAAGTCGTCCTTCTTGGAGAATTCTCCGCGGCAGCTGAGAAGCTAAGGGGAGTTTCCTGAGCCACATATTTCACCAGACTTTTTAACCATGTAATTTAGATATAAATATATAGTTAGTTAAACTTGAACCTTTCGTAGTTTATTTAGCTGATCGCCAAAAATTTAAGATTAAGTTTATATTGAAGAGCTTTTGAAAAGAACTTAAAAGTTTTGAATTTCTAAACTGTAACTGCAGATAAATTTGCTTTTCTCATACTTGTGGCATAAAATCAAAATTAGAGGAATTATGAAATCTTAAAGTCGTACCAGTTATATCCCATAAATTTGGCTAATAGAATTGTAACAAAATTATATAAAAAGATGTCAAAATTGATTATTACACAACATTTAAATAGAAAAATAGGCATTTGATAAGCCAGGTACTGTATAAAGTATGGCCTCGCCATCAGAGTTAAAACAGGGCCGACATAGGATAGGGTTGGGCCAGTACATGCTGCACCTTTAGGCTAGTTTATAGGGGATAAGAAAAGGGGAATGCACTGATATGTGAACCTGGTACCCCTAGAATACATGTCTAATCCACATATTCATATATTCTCATTGTTGTGTTGCTTACTATATCCATTGTGATGGATTTCTTTTATCCGAATATACCCTGTATTAAGTAAATAGGATTTCTATATTTAGGATTTCAATGTTTGAAGTGTGAGCTTAAACCTGCAGTAAGTGTAATGTTTCACATATTATTTGTCTGCTATATGGGGAGGGTTGGTATATCCATATAAGAGGATCTGGTGACCTGCTCAGAGGTAATATTGTTGCAATATTAAAGAAAGTCTTATTTTCCTGCATGTCAAGAGGTAATATTAGGTATGGAATTTTTGGAATTTAGGAATGATCTAAAGATTATGCTCTTTCTTTGCCCATATTTAATTGATAGCAGCAGGAAAAGGTAAAAAACCAGCTTCAGATATCCTTTAGCAAATATTGTAGCAATCTCCATATTTGTTAACTTGAGCATACCTAGATAAACTTGAGCTAAGATTCACTAAAATTATATCTATGTTTATCTTCTAAACATGTACATTCAACTTAAATTACACTGTGAAAATGTGTGGAGATAGCCTAACTATGTTACATCTATCCTCGCTAATCTTATAAATACATACATTAAACCCATTCAATGTATAACTCCATCATACCCATATTGAGATTGCTTAACTACCTTATATAACAGAGCATAGATTGTTATTACACTGTTAACCCTATCCCCGCTGGGGTACTTGAAAACCAGGATACGCTGGGGGGGGGTCAATTTGACCCCCCCCTCTAAATCCCATGTTTTATGTCCAAATATGACAAATGATACATCATTAGAAAGCTCTTGTGCTCTACTTTTAGAATCTGCAAAAAAATTTGCAAATTTGCGAAAATTGAATTTTTTATCGCAAAATCCAGTTTTATAGTAAAAATGTTTGCAAAAAAAAATTTGTCCAAAAAATGACAAATTATACATTTTTGAAAAGCCCTTGACC